TAAATAGAAATAAAGAAGATAAAATGAGTTCCAAAGAAAACTGTTAACGTAATAAAGTAAGAAAGGAAGCTTTTAAAATTCGTTTTAAATTAAACGTAAACAAATAAAAATAAACAAAGTAAGATAAGTAAATACAATATTAATGAAGTTATGAAACTAGGATAATATAGAAACAAGAAAGGCTGATAACGAATACTGTTAACAAAGAAATTAATAACTGCCTACCATTCCTCGAAGTGTCCTTGTAAAGACGATCCTCGAATTGACCGATTGCTGAACTGGTTCTTGGTTGGTGTCTCAACTGGAAGATGGACCTAAAAAAATATCAAATATTACAAAAATCTTCAATACAAATGCTTATTAAGAATAAATCTAAATCAAAAAGGTTAATATCAATAAAATAAAACAAATTCCAAAGAAAAATTTAAAAGTAAATAGAAAAGAAACTTTAGTCATTTTAAATTAAATATAAGAAAATAAAAAAGAAACAGAAGAAGGTATGTAAATAAAAGACATTAGGGAAATTATGAAAATAGAATTAAAATAAATAGAAACTAGGAAAGAGTTACATAAACAACCTGTTAACAAATGAATTAATAAATACCTACCATTTCTCGAAGTGTCCTTATAAAGACGATCCTCGAATTGACCGATTGCTGAAGTGGTTCCTGTTTAGTGTCTCAACTGGAAAACGTACTTCAAAACTTATTTTTTATTATTTACCTACCTTATTTATTTTTTTTTTTTTCACTAATCTTTGACTTTTCTTACTTTGCCTTTGTAACTTTTGTTGCTTTTTACCATTACTTTGTAACATTATTTGTTTTATGTCTTTTAGTTTAAATTGACTCAAAACTTGCCTTTCTTTTGATTTACTTTAACGTCATTTAGATCTTCATCTTTCAGTTATTCTTAATATTGTTCTTACAGCTTTTCTTTCGTTTAATTTACTTTTTCTTATTTACATTTAGACTTTATTTACTGTAACACATAATAAAGCTTTTTCTTTTCATTTTAACTTTCTTTTAACTTCATTTTAACTTTTTTCTTTTACATAGGAACTTTTAATTCTTACACTAAACAGTAACTCAATTTATATCTTTGCTTTCTTTCTTTTACTTAGCAGGACCAGTGATCGACATTGAAGCCAGCAACAGGTGGAGTCAACTGGGATATCAAGATGAACAGGAACATCGCGACCACCAGGACATCAAGGATCCACACCAGCGGACCCAAGGATCGGANCATTCGGAGAGAAAAGGATAACATAGGCGCTAGCTCAAGATTTAAATAATTTTCGGTTTTTCACAAATATTCTTGTATTTAATTATTCAATATTCCCTTGTTTGTCTGGGGTAGTAAAATGAAGGAATTTTCAATTATTTTTAATAAGAGAAAACAATTAAAACAAATTTGTAATTAGTATGTTAAAACAGCAGAGACGATGCGTTGCGGACATCGTACGTTCTAGCTTCGTAGTAAACAGAGAAAGTATTCGGAGAGAAAAGAATAACCAATGCGCTCGAAAAAGGAACTTCAATTATATGATTTTAGTCTTATCGTTAGTTTTTCGCAAGTTCTTAACATGTAACCTAATATAAACATTACTTTCAGTCCCGTTGAAATAAAATAAAGTAATTCAGAAATTTGTTTCTTTTAGTTACCACTATGTATATATTCACTAATATAAAGGAAACAAAGGATAATATAACCCTATAACTTACACATTGTTTACTATTTTTCTGACGTAATGTAAAGAAAAGATAAAATTCATTAGTTTTACCGAAAATAGTAAATATTAAAAATTTCCGAAAACTGTAACACAAATTTCCATTTACTTATCATATTTTTCGTTTCTTATGTGAAACACAAAATTATGAAGGGGTTTGCTTTGATGACGAATAGTTAAACAATTGAAGAGTGCAACCAGATATAGGGGTGCTTTTTTAAGAACGGAGTATGTTTGCCCCCTTTTTTGAGTTTCGGATACAATTCAAAAACTATGCAACTTTAAGCTAGCTATCCAGCCGCTCTTTCCGAAGCCCCAACCTCATACAATGAACTACCTAGGCGCCATCAGCAGTTCATCTGAGTGGAACAACTTACTCAAGAGACCGTATAATATACCTAAGCGTGGCTGCTAAGAGCGAGCTATATGTACTAACTAAACGGAAACAAATGGCGGTGAAAAGGTTCAACTAAAAAACATTTATTCACACCTGCTATACGAAATATTAAACAAAATTTATGTTGGAGAGGTGACAAAGGTGAAGTATAAGAAAACTGTAGATTAATTTTTTTGAAAAATGATTGCAAACACTAGTTTTAGCAATTTTTTAGTTCACCCTCCCAAAAATTAATTGAAAACACTAAATTAATCTAAAACAAGATTAAATAAATTTTCTTTTATAGAATCAAAAAGTAAAATTTACTATCTTGTTCAAATAGTCGTGCAAAGTTCCGAATTTGACAATTTAATTAAAACTATTGTGTAATTCAGTGTTTACAATTGCAATCATACAACAACCAGTACATGCGCGTTTGGATTGAATTTTTGTTGTCAAATTGAGGCATTCCTAATGTAGTATCTAAGAAACACTTTTGTTATTTAAAATATAACAAACACTAAATGATGACGATTATGCAAGGTAATGATGAAAACGGATGATAATTCTTATTTCAATAACTCACCACTTTTCGTAATCCTAATCCTAAGTACAACTTTCATTCCAATCACTGTTCAAATTCACGTTTATGATTACACAACACAACACAGGATAAGTTTTCATTACTAATTTACGAAAACTAAGGCGATAATTCAACTAATTAATAGCACTCGATACTACCCGTTAACATGGCGCCGAATTAATAATAACAGTCAATTGTAATATTAATTTCTATTGCTCGTGTTAGATCGGACATGGACACCGAAGTAGTTTTCTTTTTTTACAGGAATTATTTCAATTTGCATTTCTTTCTCATTCTCGTTGTATCTAGACACATCGCCTTGAAAGGGCAAAAAGACGTTTGTTTGATAAATAAAAGTTATCAAGAAATAAAAATATGTATGAAACGGGACCATGTATGAGGATTCAGAAAAATAAATTCGATTTTCTTATTTCTTAGAATATATTTAATTTCTTGATTAGAAATAGCAAATTTGTCTTAATTAGAATCTTGAGACAAAAGCTCATTTTGAAGATTAGTTATGTATACATATAAATTTCTATTATGAAAATTTAGTCTGAAGTATAGTATGTACAATAAATGTTGTAATTTACAGCACAAAAAGATCAGGGTATTAACGGTAACTTTTATGAATTAAATTAATCAAATCTGAACCCTTGACAATGTGTGTACATAATTTCATGATTGAAATGGAAAGAAATTTTCAGCGTGAATTTCTGCCAAGCTTAAATTTGCGCCTTTATTTTTACAATTATGTAAGATTTTTTATTCAAATTGGTCGGTATTGCAATGAAGAGATGTACACAAAAACATTTAATTTAGCCTTTGAGACAGTAAGTAGTGTTAATTTTTAGCGTAAATTGAAAATGCATTTCTTACAGACTCACATAGATACATACAAATCGAAGAGTTTTACTATCAGTACAGCAGCAAACAAGGGTGCGATCAGTGTACCGTGAAATCTACACAGTCAAAATTTCCCAGTATGAAATAATAAGGGTAGGGGTAGGGGAAGAGGTAGACCTAGATTAGATTAGGTACTGTTCGCAAATAGTTAAGGATGTGGGTTGTTCTAGTTTTAGGAAAATGAGAAGTTTAGCTCAGGACAGGAAAGAGTGGAGGTGCGTGTCCAACCAGTCTTAGGACTGACAACCTCATGATGATGATGAAATAATAAATAAATATTTTCCAAAAAATCCCCAAACGGGCTGAAATAGGGTATCAACATCAGGACCAGATCAGACTCAATAGGGCATGTCGTAAAATGATGATTAGGGCTATATATAATATGAGGTAATAGGAGATGCCCTAGTAAATCCGGATCCGATCCGGATGCTAACAGGACAACAAATTTCCAATCGGGAATATATGACCAAAAACTGAAATAACCTTATTACATTTTAACAAGGTGTTGTTATATAAAAATGTTGATGGTTTCAAGAAGGAAATAGACATTAAAAAAATACAATTACTGTAACTGTAGCTATGTATAATAGACAAAAAGAATATGAAGCTAATTTGTCCAAAAGGTATGTGTTTCTTAATTTCAAAAACAAACTATTAATTGCAGTATTAAAACAAGCATACAACGTTATGTTGCAATACGTGGTACGTTCGAGGCTCGAGCGTTGTACGCACTGAAGGGAGTCAGCATTCGGAGAGAAAAGGATAACATAGGCGCTAGCTCAAGATTTAAATAATTTTCGGTTTTTCACAAATATTCTTGTATTTAATTATTCAATATTCCCTTGTTTGTCTGGGGTAGTAAAATGAAGGAATTTTCAATTATTTTTAATAAGAGAAAACAATTAAAACAAATTTGTAATTAGTATGTTAAAACAGCAGAGACGATGCGTTGCGGACATCGTACGTTCTAGCTTCGTAGTAAACAGAGAAAGTATTCGGAGAGAAAAGAATAACCAATGCGCTCGAAAAAGGAACTTCAATTATATGATTTTAGTCTTATCGTTAGTTTTTCGCAAGTTCTTAACATGTAACCTAATATAAACATTACTTTCAGTCCCGTTGAAATAAAATAAAGTAATTCAGAAATTTGTTTCTTTTAGTTACCACTATGTATATATTCACTAATATAAAGGAAACAAAGGATAATATAACCCTATAACTTACACATTGTTTACTATTTTTCTGACGTAATGTAAAGAAAAGATAAAATTCATTAGTTTTACCGAAAATAGTAAATATTAAAAATTTCCGAAAACTGTAACACAAATTTCCATTTACTTATCATATTTTTCGTTTCTTATGTGAAACACAAAATTATGAAGGGGTTTGCTTTGATGACGAATAGTTAAACAATTGAAGAGTGCAACCAGATATAGGGGTGCTTTTTTAAGAACGGAGTATGTTTGCCCCCTTTTTTGAGTTTCGGATACAATTCAAAAACTATGCAACTTAGTACATATTTGTGCAGAGACGTTTTGCGTTTTATGTACGTATCTGTCTGTCATTCTATCAATATTCAAGTCTTTTGCAGATTATCAAAGATTATCGAGCATTTAAGGGTGTTCTGCGAGAATCCGCTAATCTTTTATTATTCATAACTATAAGCGCAATGTTATACCTTAAGGACATATCTATATGTTATGCATTGATAAATTCTTAATAAAATACACAAATAAGAATAAGGATAAACGTAGCTCAATTAAGGAANGGCTGAAACTATAGCTACAAGCTATCCAAGGATGGTACTATAGAATGTCACCTCAAGGTAGGCCTAGTGGCGTCATCTCTTGGTTAGGCCGGAAACTTATCAATCCACCCTCGTATATGATATGACATAATAGGAGATGCCCTAGTAAATCCGGATCCGGGCCGGATGCTAATAGGACAGGACAGCCCCAACAAGGAGTCACTTCTACGTTGGCGAACGGTTAATTTAGAAATTCGAAAAAGGTTGTTAAAGGTGTATGTTTGGAGCACGGCGCTGTACGGGTGCGAAACATGGGCAGTGGGCGCGGCGGAAAAGAAAAGTGTTCGAAACGTGGTGTTATAGGCGAATGATGAGAATAGAGAAGATTAGAAGTGAAGAGGTATTAGAAAGAATAGGAGAACAGAGAACTCTGTGGAAGAGGCAGAAGCGGGAGTTAGGAGGGGTAGAGGTAGACCTAGATTAGATTACTGTTCGCAAATAGTTAAGGATGTGGGTTGTTGTAGTTCTAGGAAAATCCGAAAATTAGCTCAGAATAGGAAAGAGTGGAGGTACGTGTCCCACCAGTCTTAGGATTGACGACCTTATGATGATGATGCATGACAATGCCGGAGTTACGAGATTGAACATGAAAAATTGCCAGTAAAACATTAAGAANAAAAGAAGTTTTAAAAAATCCTTTCAAATTAACTATAAACGGTAGGTAACTAAACAGATATTAACGGAGTTATAAAACTTGCACAGATTATAAAGTATGTAAGCTTATGAAAATAAAGTAAGTAACGACAAAAGAAGCTTTTTCCAATTTACAAATATTATAAATAGGCTACAACCGCACGGCTAGTGGTATAGCGTGAAAACAATGAGAGCTTTCAACTTTCAATACGGCAGTTAATTTTCGAAATTA